CTCTAGAGGCAGAGGCAGGCGGATCTCTGTAAATTCCAGGCCAGCCTAGTCTCAGAGTGAGTCCCAGGACAGCCAGAGCTACAAGGAAACCCTGTCTCAAAAAAACAAAAACAAAAACAAAAGATTTGGGCTAGGGAGATAGCTCGGGGGTGAAGTATTTTCTGTGTAAACATGAAGAGCTAAGTTGAGATCCTGAACATCCATGTGAAAGCTAGAAATGGCAGCGCCAGTCTATAGCCCTAGTGCTGAGGGCTTGGAGACAGATGGATCCCTGAAGCTCACTGGCCAGACAGTAACTGAAATGGCGATCTTTATGTTCACTGAGAGACCCTGTCTCAAAAAAACAAGGAAGCGGCCGGGCGGTGGTGGCGCACGCCTTTAATCCCAGCACTCGGGAGGCAGAGCCAGGCGGATCTCTGTGAGTTCGAGGCTAGCCTGGGCTACCAAGTGAGTTCCAGGAAAGGCGCAAAGCTACACAGAGAAACCCTGTCTCGAAAAAACCAAAAAAAAAAAAAAAAAAAAAAAAAAACAAGGAAGCAAAAGATGTCATCTTGCATCAAACCCTGGCTTCCACATATGCATGCTTAGGTGCATGCACATATTTACACATGGGCACAAATACATACACACACAACCAAAATAAAACAATGGATTGTCAGTCATCAGCCCTACAAATAAAGAACAGAGTGAACTGAACGAACAAAGATTGTATTTCTGTCAACTCTTCAATTGCAGTAATGGAGATTAAAAAGACAATGGAGCCTCATTTTCAAACGATTGACAAGAAAGAATTTTAAAACCTAGAATTTTACATCCAGTTGAACTTTCATTCAACTGTGAGACCATGGCTTAAAAAAAAAATCCCATCATGCATAGAAAGCCTGCGAAGGCCTGCTACACAAAGACTCACCCTAGACCTAGTTTTGACTAAAGTACTTAAATAGAAGGAGAGAGAAATGTGGTCGACTCCAGAAGAAGTAAAGTAAGTTAAAATGATCACTTTTGTCTTTTTAAAAGTCTAAGGTGGGGGCTGGGATTGTAGGTCAATGATAGAACAAATCCATAGCAAGAGGGGTCCTGGGTTTGACCCCCAGCACCACACACACACACACACACACACACACACACACACACACACACACACTAAAAGAAAGTATTAAGGATAAACATTCTCATATCAATGTGATGTGGTTATTCCTTGTTTTAAAGGTTTATTCTATTTATCTGTCTGTCTGTCTGTCTGTTCCAGTGCCCACATCTGTGAGTTTGCAGAGGCCCAAAAAGGACAACAGACCCCTCAGAGCTGTGATTGCAGGCGTTTGGGGGTCATGGGCTCTGGAGTGTGATCTACAGTCCTCATGAATGAACAGCAAGCACTCAGTCCTGAGCCAGCTCCTCACATCTCTCCAGCCCTGTTACCTCTTTTTGTTTTGTTTTTTATTCCAGACAGGGTTTCTCTGTGTAGCCCTGACTGTCCTAGAACTCACTCTGTAGACCAGGCTGGCCTTGAACTCACAAAGATCCGCCTGGCTCTGCCTCCCGAATGCTGGGATTAAAGGCGTGTGCCACCATCGCCTGGCTAAGATCTCAATTCTTAAGAGACAAAACAAAACAAAACAAACAAACAAACAAACAAAACAGTCAGTGGTAGCTCATGCCTTTAATCCCAGCACTCAGGAGGCAGAGGCAGGTGGATCTCTGTCAGTTCCAGGACAGCCAAGACTACACAGAGAAACCCTATCTCAAAAAACAAAAACAAAAAAAGAAGAAAATAAAAAGATTTAAGTAAAGAAGTAACTGCCAGGTACTAAGTATACACCTATAGTCCCAGCTATTTAGGAGGATGAGGCAGGAGGATTATCTGAGTTCAGGAATTTGAGGCCAGCCTTGGCAACAAGTAAAAGCCTGTCTCAAAAAATAAAATAAAAATAAATAAATAAATAAACCTCCCAATTACATTAATAACACAAATGAATTTAAAAGCTCCAAAGTCCTCCTTCAAAAGAGAGAGAGTGGGACTGGGGAGATGGCTCAGCGGGTAAGAACATGAGGACCTGAATTCAAAGTCCCAGCACCCACACAGAAAGCTGAGCATGGCTGCGGATGGTTGTAACCCAGGGTTTCTGGGCACAGACAGGTGGATTCTGGGAGCTCACTGGCCAGTCATCCTAGCCACAACATAAAGCTTCGGGTCCCCACGAGAGTCCCTGTCTCAAGGGAATGAGATGAAGAATAACAGAGGATGCCTAGTGTCCTCCTGTGGACTCTGCATGTATGTACACACACACACACACACACACACACACACACACACACACAGAGTTAAAGCAAAACCCCAAATGACAGTGAGTTAGGTCTGGTGAGGTAGCACTAGCTGTAGACACAGTAAGACAGTGAGTTGGGCTTGGAGGGGCTCCACAGTGGAACACCACTTAGTGTGCGTGAGGCTCCCATTCAGTCCCTAGCACACACACACAAAGACAATGAAGTGCATATTGGATTTCCCAAAATCCCAGCTATATGCTTTTTATACACAATCTACCTAAGTTATAAGGATACTTGGATGTTGGAATAAAAAGATGGAGCCAGGGCTGGCTTGGTGGTTAAGAACACTGGCTGCTCTTCCAGAGGCTCCAGGTTGGATTCCCAGCACCGAGACAGCTGCAGCTCACAACCATCTGCTGCTTCTATTCAAGGGGAAATCCGTCACCCTCTTCTGGCCTCTATGGACACTGCATGCATGTGATGTGGAGACATACATGCAGGCAAAGAATGGAGCCAGACATTACGTCACATGCTTTGATTCCCAAACACTTGGTTGACAGAGGCAGACAAATACGGAAAAAGTCTTGTCAAGCAAGGATAAACATGGTAGCGCATGCCTGTAATCCCAGCCGAAGGGAGGTGGAGGCAGAAGGATCTGGAGTTCAAGGACACCTTTGGCTACATAGCAAGTTAGAAGGCAGTCTGGAGGCCGGGCGGTGGTGGCGCACGCCTTTAATCCCAGCACTCGGGAGGCAGAGCCAGGCGGATCTCTGTGAGTTCGAGGCCAGCCTGGGCTACCAAGTGAGTTCCAGGAAAGGCGCAAAGCTACACAGAGAAACCCTGTCTCGAAAAACCAAAAAAAAAAAAAAAAAAAAAAAAAAAAAAGAAGGCAGTCTGGACTGCATAAACTCAAAACAGCAAACAAAGAAATGTAAAGGTATGTAATCATATTCATATTAGATACAATGGTCTTTTAGCCACAGAACATTGTTACAAATGAGCAAACTCACTCTATTATGATGAATGACATCATTCTCCAAGAAGTGGTAGCAATTTTAAACTTGTGTGCACCTAATAAAGTATATGAAGCAAAAAATTGATAGAGCCACGAGGAGCAATGCCTAATGTATCTCTGAGTGGGAGATCTGATCGAATTGCTCTTAAGTGAGCCGAACGGCAGAAAAACTGCAAAACAGATCTGGACAACAACATTAGCAAGTTTGGCCTAATGAATAAAGAGAGAGCTCTGGCCAACAGTGGGAGGAACGATTGTTTTCTCTCATTCACACATGAAACACTAACAAAAATTAAGGAAACCACAACCCATTCTCAATGCACAGGGAGTAAACAGGTCATTCTGTCTGAACAAGGCATAGTAAAGTTAAAAGTTAATTACAAAAAGTAGAAATTTAAAATCCATCCCAAATGTGATTTCTAGAGGTTGGGAAGGGGTGGAGGAGTGGGTATAAGGGAAGCTGGACTTGACTGGTCCATGCTAACATGTACTGAAATATCACAACAAGCCCTATTAATGTGTGCAATTAATATATGGTAACCAAAGCCAGGGGTTTAAATATCTACATCTGAGGAAACTCTGTAACAGACTGCAAAACAACTCCGGGGCTCTCTTGGTTTGCATTTTTTTTTTTTTTTCAACTTAAATCTCTCTTAGTTCGCATTCTAACACCAGGATGAACACCATGAGCAAAAGCAACCTGGGGAGAAAAGGGTTTATTTCACCCACAGTTTCCAGTCCATCATGAAAGGCAGCCAAGGCAGGAACTGAAGCAAGACCATGGAGGTGTGTGGCTTACTGACTTGCTTCTGGCTTCCTCTATCTACTTTCTTATACATCCAGAACCACCAGCCTAGGGATGGTACTGTCCACACTGGGCTAGGTCCTTCATCATCAATCAAGAAAATGCCCCACAGCTTGTCTTCAAACCAATCTGATATGTTGGAGAATATTATTTAAGGTGTGTTACTTTTGTTTATGTTGCATTTATTTAACTCTGTGAAGCTGTGTTACTGTGCTTGTGTAAAACACCTGATGGTCTAATAAAGAACTGGCCAATAGCAAGGCAGGAGAAAGAATAGGCGGGGCTGGCAGGCAGAGAGTATATATAGAGGGAGAAATCTGGGAGGAGAGATGAAGGAGTCAGAGAAGGAGGAGGACTCCAGGGGCCAACCACCCAGCTACACAGCAAACCACAGAGTAAGAGTAAGATTTACAGAAGTAAGAGAATGGGAAAAGCCCAGAAGCAAGGTAGACTGGATAATTTAAATTAAAGAAAGCTGGCTAGAAACTAAGCCAAGTTAAGGCAGGTCATTCATAATTAAGAGTAAGCCCCCATGTGTGATTTATTTGGGAGCTGGGTGGTGGACCCCCCAAAAGAGCCAAAAACTAAACAACAACACTGACATTGTCTTAGTTGAGGTTTCTTCTTCTCAGACAACATTAGCTTGTTCAAGTTGACAAGAAACTAATCAACACATGGATTAAAGAAGTCCTTAATGGAGAGGACACAGTGGTGCACGCCTTTAATCCCAGCATTTGAAAGACAGAGGCAGGAGGAACTATGTGAGTTCGAGGCTAGCCTTGTCTACATAGTGAGCTCCAGGACAATTAGTACCACATAGTGAGAACTTGTTGAAAAAAAAAAAAAAACCTTATGGGGCTGGGTGCATGGCTCATTCCTATAATTACAATGCTTGGGAGGCAGAGGCAGGTGGACCTCTGAGTTCAGGGCCAACCTGGTCTACAGAGGGAGTTCCAGGACAGCCATGGCTGTTGCCCTGAGAAACCCTGTCTCAAAAAACCATAAGTAAGAATAAAAACCATGAAACAGGCAGTCTGAGGATCTGTGTTTCTTTGAAAGAAACTGAACGTGTGTTCAGAACAAAACCTGAGGTTGTAGCTTAGTTGGTAGTATAAGCAAAGCCCTGAGTCCTGTCCCCAACACTAACAGTGGCTCTAGCTTGTAACCTCAGGGAAATGGGGGCAGAGGAATTGGAAGTTCAGTGTTATCCTTCAACACCAGAGACTATCTCACAGGGAAAAAAAATGTTTTTGTTTTTTGAGACAGAGTTTCTCTGTAGAGCCCTTCCTGTTCTGGGACTCATTCCATAGACCAGGCTATCCCCAAACTCAGGAATCTGCCTTTCTCTGTCTCATGGGAGCTGGGATTAAAGGCATGTGCCACCACACCCCGCTTCAAAGAAAATGTTCAACCACACGATCCTAGCCGCTTAGGAGATGGAGGAAGAAGCCTTGTGGTACATATGAGGCCAGTCTAGGCTACATAGTGAGTTTAAGAGCAGCCTAAACACCAGACAGAGGTGGCGCATGCCTCTGATCCCAGCACTCAGGAGGCAGAGGCAGGCGGATCTCTGCGAGTTTGAGGCCAGCGTGGTCTACAGAGCGAGTGCCAGGACAGCCAGGGCTACAGAGAAAAACCCTATCTCAAGAACAACAACCCAAAAAAAGACCAGCCTAAGCAAAAAATAAAGTCTTCACACACACGTATGAAGGACTATTGCCTTAAAAATGAAGAAAGTTTGAAAATCAACTTTCTAAGTCATTAGAGGAAAAAGAGCAAATTAAACTCAAAGTAAGTAAAGGAAGTAAGAGGAGAAATCGATGGGATAGAAAACAGACACGCATTAGGGAAAAATCAATGTACCTGAAAGCTGCTTCTCTGGCAAGATCGATGGCATTGATAAACCTCTAGATAGACTGATCAAGAGAAGTGAAAGAAGACGCAAATTATCGATACGTGTTGATTGGAGTTAGCTTTCCTCATAGGCTGAACACTCACGTGATTCCAGAGTTAAAGCTACAAAAAACCAGCTGTCTCAAAAAGCCTAGCGCCTACCCCAGCCCTTTCCCCCGGTCTCCTGTGGTTTTATTTGGTTGTTTGTACTTTCTCCTTCCATTGTTAGCACGAGAATATGCATAAATATGGCTGATGAGAGGACTCAGTGGGTAACCGTTCTCGCCACACACTCTGGTGACCTGAGTTCGATCCTTGAAGCCCAAATAAATGTGGAAGGAGAGAAATGACTGCAAGGTTGTCCTCTGGTCTCCACATGCATGACCCCCAGATCTCAGGGGCGCACATGCAAACGCAAACGCAAACACACACACACACACACACACACACACACACACACACACACACGCATACACGCACGCATGCACACACAGGAGAGAAATGACTGCAAGGTTGTCCTCTGGTCTCCACATGCATGACCCCCAGATCGCAGGGGCATACGTGCAAACACACACACACACACACACACATGCACGCACGCACGCACTCACGCACGCACACATTTGATAATAATAAGTATATTTTTACAAGAAAATGAGTGAGTAGGGAGTGTATTTGCACAGTTGTTTTAAGGGCTGATACATCTTTCACACAGGACTGTTGGGAAAGGCTTAAGATTCTTGTGATATAGTTGTGGGTCTGGTGAAGCAGGCCTGTACAGTCAGCACTTGGCAGGAGCTTGTACAGGCCTGTACAATCAGCTTGCCAAGAGCTGTGGGCCAGCCTGAGCTACACCATTAGACCCGGCCTCAAAAACAAAAACAAAAAGCTCCCCTACACAGGGATTTCTGTGATACCCTCAAATATAATCAATATATTCGAATACAAACTTCTTACTCTGGTTCAAAAATAGATGCCAGTGTGTGCTCAATAGATCAGGGAATGCAGTCATGATCGATAAATATCACAAAGAATTCCTAAAGGGCCCTGACTCTGCAAAAGGGGCCATCCAATTTAGCTTTCCAGTCTTCCTCGGTATCTTGTTTTAGATTCCAAAGATCCACTTGATGGAGACTCCATTCATCATGCGTCCAGCATCGTTTGTGACTGAAGGACAGATGCATCTTCACCGATGACGAACTCTTGTCGACTTCTGTGACCCCCTTGGATTTAGGAAGCATTCTGCAGCTTTTCCTGGGGTAGTATCCCCAGACAACAGATCAGAGAAAACAAGGCTACCCAAGTCCAGCGTGGGGAACCAAGGCGTTTGCTGGGGTCACTTATGGAGATGGACGAATCAAGCAACCCCATTACTGACCAGGCCACCCCAACACGGGTGATGACGATGACAGCCGCATCCAACTTGCATTTGCTCCACCAGAGTCTTCCCTCCACAGCATGCACACACACACACATGCACATGCGTGCGTGCGCACACGCGCGCACATACACACACACACACACACATGCACGCACACACGCATGCACACACAGACACACATGCACACACACATGCACACACATACACATACATGCACACACATGCACATACACACATGCACACACACATGCACACACACATGCACACACAGACACACATGCACACATACACATACATGCACACACATGCACATACACACATGCACACACACATGCACACACAGACACACATGCACACATACACATACACATACATGCACACACATGCACATACACACATGCACACACACACACACACACACACACACACACACACACACACTGTAGGCAGAGTTTTTCATCAGGACCACTGGCCAATTCCCAAATAACCACACAGAGACTTAATATTAATTATAAATTATAACTTAGGCTTGTTACTACCCAGCTCTTTCAACTTAACCCATATTTCTTACTAAGTTCTACCACACTGTAGTGGTATTTGCTCCGCCCATGACCCTGGGCCACATGGCCCAAAGGAGGTGGTGCTTCCTGCCATTGTATGTGACCTCTGATAAGGAACTGGAGAAGGATCACATGCCCTTCTCCCTGTGCCTGCCTGTGAAATGGACTCGATCCCGGTCAGATCAGAGGATGACTTCTGCTGTTTACTCCGTTCTATAATCATGAGTGTATTTCCTCAATTTATATTTTAATAAATGCTGTTACCATTTAATAGACTCACATGGATTGACTGTAATACCACATGGCTCATGGCTCGTTACCTCATTCTCTTCATGTTCTGCTTCCTCTGTGTCTGGCTCTCCACTCCTCAGACTCCACCCTTCTTCTTCCCTGTGTTCTCTTGTCTGGCTCTCCTGCCCAATGTCTTCCTGCCCAGCTATAGACCAGTCAGCTCTATATTAACCAATGAGAGTAAGACATATTTACAGTATACAAGGATTGTTCCACAGCAATACACTTTTTAACCTTGGGGAGCCACCTGAAACCATGGAACTCTCAGAGATGTCTGTGACTTGTGAGTTTCATCAGCTCCCTGAGTCTAACAGGCCTCTCCTTCCTCCAGGAGGGAAGGCTCCAGTTAAGAGGAAATATTTACACTAAATTGTTTACTAAAAAAAATCTTCATTAAAACTATGGTTACAGACTGGGAGTGGAGTTCCCTGATAGAGCATGTTCTTAATATGCTCAAAGCCCCAGGTTCAATCCCCAACATCATAAATAAATATACTGCCGGGCGGTGGTGGCGCACGCCTTTAATCCCAGCACTCGGGAGGCAGAGGCAGGCGGATCTCTGTGAGTTCGAGGCCAGCCTGGACTACAGAGTGAGTACCAGGAAAGGCGCAAAGCTACACAGAGAAACCCTGTCTCGAAAAACCAAAAAATAAATAAATAAATAAATAAATAAATAAATAAATAAATAAATAAATAAATAAATATACTATAGTCATTTGTTTTATCTTAAAGTATAACAGCTGGAATGGTATCTCAGTGACTGTTCTGTTGCTGTGAAGAGACACCATGACCATGGCAGTTCTTCTTTTTGGTTTTTCGAGACAGGGTTTCTCTGTGTAGCCCTGGCTGTCCTGGAACGCACTCTGTAGACCAGGCTGACCCAAACTCACAGAGATCCGACTGCCTCTGCCTCCCAAGTGCTGGGCACAGCAACTCATAAAAGAAAGCATTTAATTGGGGGCTTGCTTACAGTCTCATAGGGTTAGTCCATGATCACCATGTTGGGGTGGTACTCCAGCACCCTGGTGGCAGACAGGCATGGTACTGGAGCCACAGCACAGAGCCAAGAACTTTATATCCTGACCCATAGGCAGCAGGCAGAGCAACTGGGCCTGAGTGGACTTGTTGTTTGTTTGTTTTTCAAGACAGGGTTTCTCTGTGTAGCCCAGGCTGTCTCCCCATGTAGACCAGGCTAGTCTTAAATGCAGAGATCCACCTACCTCTGCCTCCTGAGTGCCAAGATTAAAGGTGTGTGCTACCACTGCCCTGCCTGGTGTGGACTTTTGAAATCTTAAAGCCTGCTCCCAGGGACACACCTCCTCCAACAAGGCCACACCCACTCCAACAAGGCCACACCTCCTAATCCTTCCCAAACAGTTCAACAACAGGGGATTAAGCATGCAAACATGAGCCTACTGGGTAGGGGGAGCTTATTCTCATTCAAACCAACTACAACTGGTAACAGGTAAATCCATTTAATTAGGGCTGGAGAGATGGCTCAGCAGTTAAGAGCACTTCCAGAGGACCCAGGTTCAGTTCCCAGCACCCACATGGCAGTTTACAACTGTCTGTAGTTCCAGGGGATCCGACACCCATACACAGATATGCAGGCAGGCAAAACACCAATGCATATAAAATAAAAATAAAAATAAGCCGGGCGGTGGTGGCGCACGCCTTTAATCCCAGCACTCGGGAGGCAGAGCCAGGCGGATCTCTGTGAGTTCGAGGCCAGCCTGGGCTACCAAGTGAGTTCCAGGAAAGGCACAAAGCTACACAGAGAAACCCTGTCTCGAAAAACCAAAAATAAATAAATAAATAAATAAATAAATAAATAAATAAAAATCA